TTAACGATGAGGCACTTCGTACTCTAGTCGAATCAAATCCACGTCAAACGGTCCGAGAACTTGCGACGGTGTTCACGTAACTTGCAACTGATTGGTTAAGTTAAAAAAAGGGACAAATGGTTTCCACACGAACCCAGCGAAAAGCAAAAAACGTCGTCCGGAAATTTGCAAGCTACCGATTCGCAGCGATAGGGATCCATTTTTGAACCGTGTTATAACCTGCGATGAAAAGTCGATGCTGTGCGATAATCGTCACCATTCTGCACAATGGCTAGACAACGATTTGAACCCACGGCACATGCCTAAAGCGGGTCTGCATCCAAAGAAGGCAATGGTTTCCGTTTGGTGGTCAGTGGCCGGTATAATTCATCACAAATTCTTACGACCTGGCGAAACGATTGCGTTAGAGAAATATTGTGCTAAAATCGAAGAAATGCATCAAAAACTACGAGTTAGGCAGTCGGCATTGGTCAATAGAAAATGACACCACACGCTCCCCAAATGATATTAAGAAGGCTGAATAAAGTGCACTACGAAACTTTACCACATCCACCTTACTCGCCAGATTTGTCGTTGACGGATTTTCATTTTTTTAAGCATCCGGACGACTTTCTAATGGAAAAAATCATCAACGACCAAACCACTGTTGAATGTACTTTTGTGAAAAATTCATCGACGCTAGAACCGACAGTTTTATATTAATGGAATCACAGAATTTTTCTTTTGTTAAAACAAATGTGCTGATTCTAATGCTGCTTATTTCGATTAATAAGAATTAGTATGAAAAGAGTTATGATCATTTAAAGTTTATATTTAAAATCGGACATTTCATATGTTACAACCTATATTGCTAGAAGGAAAGGCGGCTGTTATAGAAACATGTTCCTTCCACGATTGTTGTGCTTTCGAACTTTTTATGTGATAAACATGTGCTTATCGCATTTGTGTCAGTGGACAAATGAATGCGAATCGAATGGATTGTGCTTACATATAGACGTCTCCTATTTGGTTCTCAAATCGAGCGATACTAGGTTTAATGTACCTGATTTCACTGTTAAGCTAACACAAGGTTGTTAGCTCGATGAAGAAGTAAGATGCATCGATAATTCTTAACGAGGTTAAATGAAAGTTGGTTTACAGCAACACTAGGTTTATTTCGGCTTAAATCACCAGAGAAATTGTTGAGTGCAAGAGGTCGATTTGGGTGCTCTTAAGATTGCTAGTAGATTCCGAGAGTCTTCACAGTATTTTGGTTAATTTGACGTTTAACATGAAGGGCATGACATTCTTGTTGTGCTCGTTTGCGTTCAAATAGGTTTTTATGGTCTTATCTTTCTTAAATTTAAAAACTTTGGACGGAAGCCTTAATAAATGAACAAAAGCCATGAAGGATAAAGCGTTCAGCGTTGATCAATCACTTCGAGGTGCGTCATACATTCAACCCAGCTAAGGATTGTAAGCATGACTGAATGCACTATCTCCTGTATAGAGTAACCTGCAGCTGCCCAAAAAATGTCAACTCAGTGTTTTCGTCCTCGCAGACAAGTCTGGCACCAATTTACCACCCCGGAAGGATGGAGGGTGTATTGGTGCATGGCAGGTGGTCGGACCAGAGAACGACCACGTGAATTCCAGATGCCACTCTAACCACTGCGTTACACGCCGTCGTCAGCATACACCGTCAAGTAAAAATCACTGGAATTTATACTTATAGATTTCTCACGGGATATTACCTGGATTAGTAGCTGGTCATTATTGCATTTGAAAACTTTTAATTCCTATTATTGCCTATGCATATAGAGACCAGAATTAATATAAAAATAAGAGAAATCCATGAAGTAAGAAATAATTTGTTTGAAGAATCTTACTGATGGTCTAAGCTGCTCGCAGTTCGAACATATTTAGTATACACGTGAAACTACCTGCAGCGGCCTAAATGCGTCCCAATAGCTAACTGTTGATAGAAACTGATAGATATCAAATTGCTCTTAGTACAATGTTGTACTGGGACGAGAATCATGGCTTGTTCCCGATCTCTGTCATGCCTCCCCGTACTCACATCGATTCACCTCTCATCCGCTTTCTTACACTGCTGGCTTGCTCCACAATTACATGGTGCTCGTCGTGCCACGATATCAGGTAACGGCAGGTTTCGAAGATCTTCAGTGCTGTTAAATATGTCTTGGTCTTGGAAGGATGGACCAGCCGAATTTAAATTAAAAAGTAGTTTGCTAGTGAAATAGTAATGCTTCTAGGGTAATGAACATTATGGCATTTAGCTGCCTATGATGCAAATTTAACCCTAGGAAGACTATTTTATAGAAATTGTACATACGCTCCCGTTTAAACTCTTATTGTTATTCAGTTTAAACTAATTTGGGAAAACCTCCTATGAAGAAATTTATCAGGTCTCCATATAATTAAATATATTTAAAAGCTTTGAGTTTTCCATTACAGTGTCTAGATCAATATCCTCTACTATTTCTATTCACGTAACTATTTCCTTTTCGCTCACCAGATTTTACAGTGGTTGGTTCTATAGGATCAGTTATTGGTTGAATTCCACGCAAACATATAAGGATAAAGACAACGCAAATATATATATATATATATACAAATGTATATATATACATGAACATACATGAACTCCTTTTATTTTACATGATCCATCTTGACGTCTACTGTGAGGATCTCATCACTCCTCATAATCGTTTCGTTTCCTCGCATCCATTGACGACAAAGATCTTCCAACTTTTACGTGTGGCTTCGGCTGTTGCTGGAAGATTTTCATTTCATCTTGAATGCCATGGATTCCTGGTCGAGCAATTCTCCTTGGAGTCCTGAGATAGCCAGAATGGAGTGTTCTCAATTAGATTGCAGAGAGATTTTTTCTCATATAAGTTCGGTACTAATTTCCCGACCCCAGAGGGATGAGAGGCTTGTTTGCCCCGAAGTGGAATCGATGTAGCACCATGCTCGTGATGACGGATATTACTACCACTCTGCTATTCCTCCTTTATATATGAATGTTTGTATCTATATCTGTATGCACATATATACGTGTGTGCGTACATGCGTGTGTGTGTGTTATGTTTGCGCGGTGGTGTATGCCTATATGTGGGCGTGTGTAAGTGTAAGGATGTGTTTTGTGTATATTTATATATGTGAAATATCCAGTTTTCCACTTTCGCTAACCTTCATCCATCGTAATACCGCTGTTTAGAAAACGTTTCAACAGCACCAATCATTTCATGAACAACCTGTTGGCGACCATTTTGCTACTATAAAAACGATGGCGTTCAAGTACTCATTTAAAAAAAGCAAGAAGTTCTCCGAAAGGACAAAGTTATGGGAATCTTTGGCGAGGACCCGACAACTTATTGCGAGTCGATTTCACCTCTTATGGAATTTCGGTCTGAAAATTTCTCCTCAGAGAGAAACTCGAGCCAGCAGAGATTTACGATGAAACGAACGGAAAATCGGATATGAGGAGAAAGAAATAGTGCAATAACGAACGCTAACAGAGTGAAACGCATGAAAGTTGTCATTGAAGTAAATAGAGTAGTTTTGTCAGATACGAAAGACAGAAAATACAACACTCTTCAAAGGTCGGGAGCAAAGTTTTTCTGGATGCAACAGAAAAGAACGTTTCCTTGAGAACCCTACATAAAACAATCGTACTTAGCTCGATGCGTTATAACTTTATCGGAAGCTAGGCGAGAGCTTCGAAGGAACGAAAGGATATCTATGCGAAACAAATTCTTATACGAGCGCCAGCTTTAAGCAGCAGGCTTCACATATTTGCGTATTGATACTAGGTGTTCAACTAAATTCACTATCATAGCAATTAACGGCGTTCTTCATCGTTTTATTGTTTGGAGATTCGAGGAGAGATTTTCGAACACATGAAGATCGAATATAGTTTAATTTGCATTATATGACATATATATTATATTAGAACAAGTGTTTAGACAAAGTGATAACAACTATAATGATGCTCTTAACTCTTTTATTTACTGCCTTTTTCTTCTTAATGGCAGGTTATGTTGCGAAATATAACCCGTGTGAAATGCTGAGATATTTGCAAAACTCCGGACCACAGGTGTATGCAATGGAGAACGAACACGCTCTGTTGTCCTTACCGGGGAGCAGCGCACTTCACCACTACACCACCCGGATGGTGGTCCGGAGTTTTGCAAATATCTCAGCATTTCATACGAGTTATATAATGACGCTGTTTATATGACTCCCGTCCGCAGGTGCCTGGGGTAAGGACCAAATACGCTGATGCCTTTTCCGGAGGCTTTCACCACCGCACCGTGCGATCCGCATGAGTCCGGAGTTGTGCAAATATCTCGTCATCACTATGGTTGTTTCACACATAATAGCGTACCGTGAAAACTTGGGAAAGGCAATAATTAGAAAGTTGACGAAGTAATAACGATTAATGTCTGCTGATAATTCAATTGGTATAAAATGTATTTAAGAAGAAAAGGAGTTGCTGATGTCTGCACGTCGTTCCTTCGATCTTGTAGACTTTAGATGCTCGTTGATTCCTATGGCTTGAATAACTGTCATCGAACTCCATCCGATTGTGTATGAGCTGCTTTAGCAAACACTTTACCTCCAAACTACAGTCTTCCTTTCAGGGCTCGAAAAACTTCCGCCACATCGCCGTCACCGTTGGTTTGTCAACTGAGAAATTCGGTAAATTGGTAGGCCTTTCCGATTCTCACTTGTAATAAATTCAGTGCAATTAACTTCACTTCTTCAACTTCAACTTTTTAAGCTTTTTTTAAAATTCGAGCTCCAAGTATACCTATTCCTATTTCGAAGTTCTTGTAACGGCATTGATTTGGCTTTTTGATGTTTTCGGTGTTTTTCAGAGACATTCTATACACTTATTAAACTGCTGTTGGAGCTTGAAAGTGATCCCGATATTCCTTTGAATTGACCCATTTGATAACTGGATTTTCGGTTGTGAGTCTAAATATTTTCAGATGGATTTTCGAGTTCCACATTTCGTTCTGCACGACTTCAGTGATGGCGAAGAGTCTAAAGTGATTCGGATGATTCTAACCTATGCGCGGGTACCGTACGAGTGTAAGGACGTCGACCGAGACAACTACATACTAGAAGGTGTAGTAAAATAGTCTGCGATGAAGGCGACCGTTTTTAAATAAGTAAAAGAGCTAGTTGGTAGTGCACTCCACCAGGCAACGAGGTGCAGGTTCGACTCCTTCTCCAACACTTTTCTCTAATCCAACTGGGAGCGCCTTAGCTCGGCTTTTTCGAAGATTGCAAGGAGAATCGGCTTGACCAGCATCGTACAACTTTTATGAAGAAGACGAAATCCTAAAGCAGCAGCCGAAACCACACGCGAAGTGCTCGAAGAAATTAGTCGGCGGTGAATACGAAGAAAACGATTAGAGTGCAAAGAGTGCTGGGATCGATAGAGTAGATGTGATAACGAGTCATGTAAAGCAAGAACAAGAATAAAATGAAAATAAAAATAAAAAAGAAAATGAAAAGAAAAATAAAAATAACATCACAATCTTAACTCTTTTATTTACTGCCTTTTTCTTCTTAATGGCAGGGTATGTTGTGAAATATAACTCGTATGAAGTGCTGAGATATCTGCAAAACTCCGGACCACAGNGAAAAGAAAAATAAAAATAACATCACAATCTTAACTCTTTTATTTACTGCCTTTTTCTTCTTAATGGCAGGGTATGTTGTGAAATATAACTCGTATGAAGTGCTGAGATATCTGCAAAACTCCGGACCACATGTGTATGCAGTGGAGAACGAACACGCGCTGTTGTCCTTACCGGGGAGCAGCGCACTTCACCACTACACCATCCGGGTCCTTCGCTTTGCATGTATCTCAGCTAGTTCTATCCCCGGTAAGGATAACAGCGCGTGTTTGTTCTCCACTGCATACACCTGTGGTCCGGAGTTTTGCAGATATCTCAGCGCTTCATACGAGTAACATCACAATATTGCGCTTATTTCGTTGTCTCAAAATTTTCGTCCACAGTTGTGATCGACCTCAGGCGTAGTTTTGGCTGCACCTTGAGACTCTTCTCTTCATCTTCTCTTTTTGCTGATGTGATGCATGCTCATTGAGCGTGATTTTTTCTGGTGTTACCGAGCAAGGACGTTATTAGATCGTCACAATGGGCAGTCGTCGGCTGTTGCTGAGTGGAGGAAAACTTGCTACCTTGCGGTTCGAATCCTTCTAGGAGAACGCCGATTCCTGTGACGGCAGGCAATTTTGTGACAAGTCGATCTACTTCTCGAGGCCATAGTGAAACACCAAATCCTTCTTTGTGGTTCTTCACTTGGTCAGTTTTTAATTTTTATGCACACTTTGTTTGAGGAAGTCATGAATCCTTTCTAAATATTTTCTTGCTCTAATTTTCAAAATGCGTGCGACCAGAGCAACAGCAACTGATACCGCCGGACGGTTAATTTTGTGCTACGGACACGTGGGACGACACCTGACTGTCGGTAATCAACTTGCTATTTTTTCGACAATAGACAATAATTCTTCGATAACTAGCGGATTTGGGAAGTGAAAAACTGACGCCATTGTGGAAAGGTTATTGCACTAAAGGCCTTGTGGTGTACATGATATGTAAGCTGCTATTTTTTACATCCCATTATGGTCCACTACACAGCCACTTTGTTGTCAGCATTTGGAAGTGTTTGCAGCCGCCGCTGTGCCTGTTTCGCTAGGTTTTACACCGACACATTCCATAAGGCAAACATAACTCATCGCAGCGATTAAAAACGCACTAACACCAAATTCTTTTCTAATTTTTTATTTTAACACGATCTGCTTCATCTCTCACCGTCCATCCATCCATTAACCACAAAGGTTTCCGAAATTTTCACGTGTAGATTCGGTTTTTGTTTGAGGATTCTCGTCTTCTCTACGAGTGATGCCGGAGAGTCGACTCTTCCTAGAGTCATGGAATAGCCGTGCTCGAGCGTCCTCATGTAAACTGCAGGAAGCCAACTGTTAAAAGACAAGTCTAATAGCACTTTTTGACCCTGGAGAGATGAAAAGTTTGGTGAGCCCGGAACAGGGTCGAATAAGCACTGTGCTCTTGAACAAGTTACGGGTTAAATTACCTACCTATGAACTTGTCTGAGAAAAGTCTTGTCTTGGAGATACAATTGTATAGTGTAGAGCACAAGTTTTTACTGGATATGCCCTACGTAACGTTTGTTTCGCACTTGATTTAGCACAAAAAGTGTGGGTAGAAAGAGGTTTATCGTTGCAGAATGAGCCTGCCTAAGACAAATGCGCTGGTGCTATGCTCTTCGTCCACTTTGTCTCCCTTCCTCGCCAGCATGAATAGCATATAATTTGTCTCAGGCGGTATATTATAATGGAATCATTATTGATCAGTTAAGAGTCTTCATAATGTGTTTAAAATTAGAGGGAAAATCTATGAATTTGTGTTCAGCGTTTTAAAGGCCACGAAATTCTGCCAGCGACCACTTATAGTTCCTATGGTGACTGGTTCGCTGATTGAACTATTATTCAATGCTTTGATATCCGGCACCTTAGATTTTTTCAGTATTTTGCGTTTGAATGTTGAGATCAGAAATCGAAACGCCTGCAGTTTTTTAAAATAATGGTTAAGAAATTACAACTGAGCTTTTTTAGATTATCCTTTTTACACCTTGCCGATGTTGGAGGTGAATGAACGCAAACTCGGCAACGTGCCGTCGATTTGCCGGCAGTTGGGATGGAGATACGGTGGGTACACTTTAATACTAATGATTCCAGATTATTATTATTGCTACTAGATTTGTGCTTCGCAGATCAATCCTGCTGGCGGGTGATTGCTGATAGCACTACTAGGCAAAAAACTAGCTGATAGAAAGACAGAGCGAGGTCCAGGTTGATGCAGTGGCTAAAACGCAAGCCCTTGAAAAGATTAATGGGTGGTTCTAACCTGGCCAGGGGGTAGAATATTGCAAACATCTCAGCAGCATTATTAGATTATTGGCATTGTTGCTTTGTTACTATTGTTATAATTCAAGATCTAAAAGAATTCAGCTAGCGTTTTCTTTTAAAGTGTTTTCGTCTTGTAATTTTTAAAAAAAAGTGAATAATTTCCTTTACTTCGTCTTGCTATTTCTGCTGTATGGCTTCCCCACCTTTAATGTGGTGTGTAGTGTTTTTGTTTAAAGGGTATGTATTTTAGCATCGTTTTAAAAATTTCTTTTAGTAACATTCTTGTTTTCATCTTGACACTTCAAATTTTTTATTAATTTTTCTGTTTTAAAGGTTTAAAGGTTAAGGTTTATTTCACTGATAAGCCGACACAAGTTTGACAAAGAATTTTATTCGGTTAACGTTTCGACTTCTTCATCTTCCTCAGAGCCGATGATTCGAGTTGGTGCTGCACAGGCGTTCGTCCTCGACCTGGTGTATTCGTCGTCACATCGAGTCGAACAATGGTCTCTTATAGAGGACGATTGTTGTCGATATTAATTGTTCGGTGATAATAACTTGTTCTCTGCGGACAATTCATCCTTCAGTAGTCGGTATTATTAGGACCCTCATTCGAGCAGCACTCTGCTGAAGAAGATCCGACTCAATACGACTACGAAATCACCAGTCAGGCATATGGACGACTGTTGACATCAACTCCGATCATCGGCTGTGAGGAAGACGAAGATTTTGAGGCTTTAGACGAATGAGGTTCCTTATCAACTTTGTGCTAGCTTTTCAGTGAAAGAATAAATGTTATTCAGTCATACCGAAGTTATGGAAAAGTCGGTTTGTGAAATGTTAAGGTTTGTAAAATAATTCCAACACATTTGCAAAACTCCGGACCGCAGCTGTCTACTACGTGGATCAAACCTCGTTATTATCTTTACCGGGGCTAACCTACCTGTCCACCACCACACCATGCGTGTTCTTCGTTTCGCCTTTCTCTCAGCTGTGTTTTATAGGCCCTATCAGGAATAGAAGGGCGCGTGTGGCGCAGTGGTCGGAGGCGCCTTGCTACACACACGTGGAAACGGTCTCCGCGCCCGTGGTCCACTAAGCCTTCCTTCCCTCTGAGGTCGGCAAATTGATACCAGACTTTTCTAGGAGAATAGTACAGACTCGGTACATCGACAGGCCACTGCGAGTCATTGTAAAGGCCAGATATGCATTCAATCCAAACGATGCTTGATGAAGTCGAATGCATGGCGCGTATCTCAGGGATTGATCAACACTGAGACCTCTTTTTTAATCAGCAGACACCCGTCAATGAGATTGATCTCAGGAGCACAAATTGGCATTTAACCCAGTTAGGCCGAAACTGCATTATGAATCACATTGCAATCACTTTTTATTTATTGCCTATTCTTTTTTTTTTCATGGCAGGGTGTGATGTGAGCTTCAACCTGACTGGGTTCGTTACCGATTTGTGCTCCCCAGAGAATCCCGTTGACGGATGATTGTTGACAGTGCCTATAAAGCACGGCTAAGGGAAAGAAAGGCGAAATGAAGGACCCGTATGGTGTGGTGGTGAACCTCGTTAGCCTCATGGAAATGTATTAGCGTGTTCGTTCCCCCACGGCAAACAAGTGCACGGTCCGGAGCTTTGCAAATATCTCAGCGTCATTATAGTTGTATTTCACAACATGCCCTGCCATAAAGAAAAGAACAGGCAGTAAGTAAAAAGTGATTTGCTTAAGGTTTCTATTGTAAATACTTCTCTTTCGTAGAAGATAAATTTTGAGATTGAAACTTGAAGTGTTAATTGTTTGCTTTTGTTTTTTCACATAGCTTTGTGGGGATATGATTTTCGAGGTATCGCTATGTTTTCATTGTTCAGAACTGAGTGGGCAGACGGTAGGCGATGACTCGGAGGTGGATATGATCGCGGAGAAGACTTTTCAAACAAGGATGCACATCAAAAACTGGCTTGATCACCTCGATCACCGGGAGGACCATGACTGCGATGTGAGAGTTCTTATCAAATTAAAAAAGTTGTGGTGGTTCTTCTGGAATTATTCAGCCATCTTACTGTTTCATTGACAAGTAGCACTCATTGCAAAGAAGGATCTTGCAGCGATATGTTGGAAGCGAATTCTACATGAGTTAGAGGGAGAGTGTAATGTTGTGGTCATTCGTTCATTTTGCTTCGTTCCTCACCTATATCCCTGGTATTCTAATGCCCACGAAGGATGGTGGTTCCAGCGAATATATTACAATGTAGCAGAGATCATCACCTTCGTAGGTCATCCCCACTTCACCGTGCTGACTCCGAAATTTTAGTAGCAGTTTGGACATCATTCTCTTCAACGCCAACGCTTTCGTGATTTCTTTTGAATCGTGTATAGTACGGCATTTTTTCTTTGCCGGACATTATTCTATGCTGCAAGCATAGGTGCCATGTTCCATTTTCCTTTAACGTCTCGCTTTACTCAGGAACATAACTGGGTTACAGGTACTTACTTAAATGCGCGTAACCACAGACTGTGTGCTTTAACACGAGTTCTGCTTTGCCTGATACTTCTCTTGTTGAGTGAAATTTTGTTCCTGTGGATTTCTCGTATTATCCCAGCATTATCTATCCTAGCCATCACCACTTGCATTCACCGGCATTATATCGATTGCCTGCTTTTCAACCTTTGATAACCCTGCCAGGTGATGGGGTTCTTGCTGCGCATTGTAGTTTTACGGTCTGGAACATCTTTTTCTGCAATAAAGCGATAGAGACCATTGAGACAATAGCTATAGTCTTTAGAACATACAAAAGAATTTTATATCTCTAAACCGAGTTACGTTTACAAAATATTCAGGATTTCTGCGACTCAAATAATGCGATCTCGTACCTGGAGTCATATCTTCTTCCCGCTATTGAGAACATTCTACGACAGAATAGTTCGCCATGGCTTTCCTCAAGTAAGGTTAGTGCTTATCAAGTATTACTTTACTGTACCATGCGTACGGATTATTAAACTGCTTTCTTTTCTTTTGAACTTCAAATTTTCCTCGGAAATTATGAGGAGGTCAGAACACTTATGGTGGTTGAGCAAGGTTTTTCTTTGTCATCATCGTATCTCTCTTCGACGTCATTCTCATATCATCATGGACTTTTCTGAACCAGGTGAAAGATTGGTTACTTCGCCTCTAATTTTCGGTCAAGTCTGTAGTAGCTCATTAAAGCGGGTGGTTCCAGGATCGATGTCCTTACGCAGTTTTCCTCACAACGTTGGTTATTTTTGTTTCCGCAATAAATATGAGCAAACAGCATTACACTCGAAAATAAAGAATTTAAAAACATTTTTAAAGCCCTATACAGCCTAGGGAGAATGCACCGATTCTTGGCTGTTATAGGTCTGCGAAGTCCTTAAATACTTCGATACTTGGTTAGCTCGTACCACTGCTAGTGTGGGCCCCAGTATAATTTCCATTCTCTTTCTTGCGCCATCATCATTCACAATGTTTGTGCTTTGAACACGGTGACGACCTAGAAATGACCAAGCGCGAACGTACATAGTCTATGTTAACCACGAATACATCCGCCCCAAATTTAGCTGGTCGTTTGGTCAGTCCGCTTGCAAACTTATGAAGTCGCTGAGATGAGATAAATTTCCAAGATTTGACTTAGGCAACTAGACGTTGTCCCAGTTAAATATCAAATGGCAACTCTTAAATGCTTTATGGATGGTGCGCAGAGTTCTTCATTTGGCTGAAGTATTACTCCATTTTTCTGCTACGTAACAGAGCACTGCGAAAGCTGTTGAGTTGAAAAAGTGAGCCCGGAGTATTGGTCCATTAGTTGGTCGATGGCTCCTTTGAGAGGTCCGCATGGAGCCCATGTTGCTCTTTCTTCTCTCTAATTCTTCCTTCATACTTTTCTTCATTTTCATTGAACGTTCAATGTACACTTAAGAGGTCTTACGAGGTGGTCTCTGTAATCAGATACCATCCCGTTCGACCGACATATTTGTCTTCGAGCAATCGTTTTTTCTGGATCTAAGTTTTTAGTGTCATCCGCGAAACGAAGATTTGATAGAAATTTTTCACCAATGCGAATGGTCTTCTCGTCCCAGTCGAATGACTTAATCATCCACTGTAGGGCGGCAGTAAACAGCTCCGGCGAAACTGTGTCAACTTGTTGAACCTCTTTTTTTGTGAGAATAGTGAAGAGTCGGTCGATATGCTGTACATCTGTAGTCAGCAGTTGCTTGCACATAAGACGGTTCCACCTGTTCGACGAGAGCTGATACGATTGCACTCGTTTAGGCGCTGTCAAACGCTGTTTCGTAAAAGATAAATGATTGGGCACATTGCGCTCCCAACAGATTTTTGTGACCCATGACACAGTTTTGATGTGGTCCATGCCGCAGAATCCTTATCGGGATCCTGGTATCCGGATTAGTTTTGCCTATTCCAAGGGCTTTTATAAGCCCAAAAAGATAATCTTGGTGAACGGCTTCTAGACTACGTTGAGTAATGGAAGGCAGTTAAAGATGTTTTCAGTCAATTTTTTAAGCAGGATGATCGTTGAAGACGTCCTTCACTTCTGTGGGATTTTCTGTGAAGATAAGATTTTCTGAAGGTAAAATGCTACATAAGCTGAATAAAAAACATTGTGGTGAACCGAAGGTTTAGTTTTATTAATATCTCTGTCTTCATAAAATTTCGTCCAAGATTCCATTCTTCGCCGAAAGAAGAGAAAGCCACCAATTTCAACGAAAATCGAAATCCCAAAACCATTGTCACTTTTTATCACTTGTCGTCCTACTGATCGTCGAGTGATTGAAATGAAAGCTGGTAAATTTTCTATTTTCTCGTGTATCGAGCAACAGGAGCAAATTGGTTTTGCTCGGTCTAGAAACTGGTTGGGCATCATACCTTTTTTCTAGAGTTTTCGTTAAGGACTCTGATCATTGGGTCGATTCTTGAAAAACGTTTGTCATTGCGAGGAATCCAGTCACTGAGGGCTCCTGTCCATCAGTTGTCGTTTCTACAAATTACATTTCCGGCCCACTTTGTCTTCGACAGTTTGGTGTATAGAACGGAATCTTTGATTTATTATCGTTTGCGCAGGTCGGAGCTGCTGATCTCTTCCCTTACTTGCGTGACATGGGATACCTCCTAGTATCCTTCTTTCGGCTTTGCGTTCAAAAACGCGGTAATCTTTCATCCCATTTATGTAGCGACGGGATTCCTGGCGCGTACTTGAAGGCAAGAAGAATCGTGAAGTCGAAAAGATGGACACGAAGTCGGGTGTTCTTTGTTCTCCTCACTACATCCCCGGTGCCCTTGAAAGCTTCTAAAACTTCTCGCATCCTTCTGCACAATCCTGAAAACTACCACATTAGTTGTGAGTATGAAGGGTTCCTACTCAGTGGATGACCACGAAGACTGTGTTATAGTTCAAGAAGGATGATTTCCTCCATATCTGCAACAATCACTAAGTCTGCTTGCCGTCTGTCGGCTGCAAACTTTTCGTACAAGTCATCCTAAGCGAAATTGACAGAACACTGAACCTTGAAAAGCCATGTGAGTGAGCAGGGTTTCGAGAAGAATCCAGTACGATGGACCACATTCACGCGATAACAAGACTCGTTGAAGTATTGAGGGAGTACATAGTCCTTTAATACATTTAAAGGAAGATTTCGTTTTAATTCGGATAGGAGCAGTCATGAGTGCTCTCGACAGTCATAACATCCCCATTCGGTACATGAAAGTTCTTCGTGAGCCATATAAAATTTTTGCAACCAAAATAGCAGCATTTTGTAACGAAATTGACATTTCTTTCCCAGGGCGTAAACCAATGTGCAATCTTTCTTTGCCAACTGAGTCGGACCCGTAAAAAATGTTACGATGCGTTTGTATGCAAAAATCGCCACGTATTGTGCCTGGGGCAGATACTAATGGATTGGTGGCGCCAAACATAGCATGCCTGTGCTTAACAACATCAGGACCTGCCGGACCATGGCGACAACTGGACCAGATTTCGTATAGTCGATTAGATAGGGGAAGAATGGCTTGTCATTGAGGTATTTATAGTGCGCCTCTCTGCTCATAAGCAGTCATCATCTTAAGTGCGATCAACTTGTAACGTTTCCTCAAACCTTTAGTTTATCTTCTCGACAAGATTCCTGTGTATGCCATCAGGTTCACGGCAATGAACGTCCTTTTGTTGGTGGTCGTATTCTCACAAGCTCGCCGAATCTTCTCGGGAAGATAATTCAGAGGTAGGTTTGCAGAAAGAGGTTACATGTTGGTCGCACCTAAGATGACTGCTTCTAAGCAGCACTTGAAGGTTTACTATAGAGACCTCAAAGACAAGCCGTTCCTCCCCCATCTGATCCAATACGTGAAATTTGGCATTAGTGTCAAAAGAGGGCTTAGACAAGGCAATGCTTTCTTGCCAAAATTAACTACAGCCATCCTCGAGAACGTCATCCGAGCTACGGTATGGGACAATTTTTACCTTGCTAATGACATATAACACCAAGGATTAGACAGGTGGAGCGAACGTTGGCCGACTTTGACAACGAGAGAGAGGATGCAAACCTCCGACCCACGTCGGGTACAAAAAATTGAAGTCGCCGTTCTATACGCGAAATTTCCTTGGATGAGGTGAGCTCTACAGGTGCTGCCTCTGAATGACAGATGTCATGCGCGCAGCATGACAAGCTGATCAGATGGTCAGAGCTCTTCAGGACCATAGAAGAACGATGTAATGCTTAACGAGTTCCTACAGCGCGAGGTTTACTGGCGTTCGCTTGAATCACTTAACAATTAACAGGACAAAAAATGATTCGTGTAACCCGGGTGTAAATCTTTTTGCAGTGATTTTCTACAGTTGGCATTTGGTATCCGCCGTGCTACATGTGTTTCAGTAGAATCAAGCTTCAGTTTCCTGTTTCGAACAACTTTTTAGAGGTAGGGATGCGGTCTTAACCCTTTGTTTGTGGAACCGATTCGAGTTCGGAACAAGTTTGAAGTCCTTCAACAGTCAGCTTCTAGTCTTCCGTTGGATCTTCCTATATCTGGCAGTCACATGAATGAATTTTAGTGCGAATATCCTCAGCATACCCGCCTTGTCTCATTTTTCTTAGACAGTGACAGGAGTTTTCTTCTAGCTTGTGGGTTTAACTGAATCTTCGCTTGGTGAATGCGGTGATTGGATCTAGTGGAGAATCCGGGTATTACTGAGGTGTCAAGGTGCGCAATCTTCTGTTCTTGAGAATATAGTCGATTTCTGTATAAGGTGCGTTGTTAATAGGCTTCCACGTCCATCGGCGACGTTATCCCTTTTCAAAAAATGAATTCCCATGTTTGAGACAAACTGTGGAGAAAAGTCCAAAAACGTGGTGTCGCAGTTTTCATTCTCATTTCGTTCCTCTATTCCAAATTTTCTGTTCTGTATTCATTTTCATTGGCTCTTTCTAATCTGTCGTTAAAATGTGCAACAACGAATTTATAGAAGGCCACTTTTCGTTACGGATTATTTCCTGCAAATAGCTGAAGAATGTGCCCAATTTGCTCTTATCAGCTGCACAAGTTGGTGGTGGGCAACAGTTCCGCCGTTTAATTGACGCTTGTCTGTCTTTCTGTTTTTCTGATCTTGTGGGGCAATCATATGGAATTCCATGCGACCGGCAGCCTCAGGAAGAGCATACCGATCGGCTCCTGAAGAGACTGTTCTGGTTTTATAGTTTCCGAGCAAGAAGCAGTTTTAAGGTGTGCAGTGGGTGTGCTCGTTTTATCCGTTTTCAGTGACGTCCTATGGAACCAGAGATTTTGGTGGTCTTCCACCGCTTGTCTCATCGACCGACGTTGTAGATGGGATCGCCCAGTGTGCAGTGTATCGATGCGTGAATTTTGCTGCTTTATGTTTCCTGGGTTTTCTCTAGAAGCTCAAGGTCATCTTAGTCGAAGTATTCCTCAGGTTGTCACCACCACAAGCAGTTGCCACCGATCAGACCTTATGGATCAGAGGGAGATTAGTCACCATTGCGGATGGAAAAGTTAGACTCTTTCTCAGTTTGGGAGAGCTTAATGAGGTGGTAGACCGCTCGCTGTACGTTGCAGTCCGACACCAAGGAACACCTCCCATTCACGATTAGGTATTGAACTTTTCGTAAGAGTTTATTAAATACTTTAGTTCTTTAAAAAGCACAAGCGGTTGTCGAAAAGTTGGTACGACGTTTTGAAGTCAAGGGTTTCGTGAACAAATTTTGTATATAAATAGTTGAGCTTACGCGAAGTTGATGAACTAGTTTTATTCGGGTAACGTTTCGACGTCTTCATCTTCATAAGGGCCAATGATCGGAGTCGATGGTCCACAGTTGTTTGTCTTCTCGATGCGGTATGACATTTCCTTTGTCGTACCGACATGGACGTTCTTAAGTGGAGCACCGCACGATTGAGCAATGCTGCTCACATGGCAGTGCTCTTTTATACAGGGCGGTTGTTGTTGATATGACTATCCGTTGATAAAAATTTAATAAAAAAGTTTTGTGCCCTTACTAAGTCTCTTCTCTCCTTTTGTTCTTCTCAGAATCAAAACGAGGGCTACCATATGCCAGAGGTGATGGTACCAATGCTTGGCATCTCTATCATAACCTACAGTGACCGACAATAAGACTATTTGATTCCTTGGCTTTCGGTAAAATAAAATCAAAACAAAGATACAGGCCCCAGAAAGGGTAATCGCGATTTGGAAGCTCGCCTTGGGGTTCCGAGTTTTGGTCATATCTCAGCATCATTGTGGCTGCATTTTGCATAATATCCTGCTATGAAAAAAAAAATTGGCCATGAATACAAAGTTACTAGGTTTTGACTGCAGCTTTAGTTTAACTGGTTTCGATGCCATTTTGTGCCTCTGAGATTATTTCCATTGAAAGATGATTGCTGATAGTACCTTAAGGGTGAAAAAAACTGGCTGAGAGAAAGGCAGAGGAACCTCGACGGTGTAGTTTATAACATATTAATCTTCGGAAAGGATAGTCGTGGGTTCGTAGCTCGCCTGGCATTCTGCATTTTGCTTATATCAACTATGAACAAATGTGCTAGTTTGAAATATAACCGCAACACTATTGTGGTTGTATTCCACATAATACCCTGCCATGAAAAAGTAATATACAGTGAATAAAAGTTAAGACAAAGGATAATTGTTTATTGGAAGCCAAAAAGGAGAAAGCCTGGTAATATTTAAAGCTGTTTGGATCAAACGTAAGTGAACGGTAGTACTGAGTGGTAGGTACGAACTGAAACGTACGAACGCGAATTGATAGAATCGAAGTATTCATTGTTCTTCTCTGATTTCGCTCCCATCCACTGCTATATTATACATTTTCGAAGCACTCTATGTTAATATGATTTCTTCATTTTTTGCTCCGATAACTTAGCTATTCAGATGGTGCGTGAAGGTGTTAGTGTTTTTAATCTACTATCTATTTAGTTGTGATTTACAGATGACGTGGTGCGACTTGCTTGTCTGCTGTTTGTTCAACCCTATCATCTATCACTGCCCACGGCTGTTCGACCGCTACCCGAACATCTTCCTGCACAACAAGCGAATCGCACAAATGGATGAATTCATGGGCTTTCTTTATAACATCCGCGAAAAGCGACGACTTTCTTTCTGACACTTCATGATCATTTCAAAAAGATACTCGTCTCCAAAAATCGTGTCTATAAAGGTTATTTATTTGTGTTCATCACTTTCCTAAAACCTTGCATAGTATTCAATATGTTGGCTAACGGAAAACCTTACATGGGGTTGTATAAGTTTTTACTTATTACGACAGACCTTTCGACGCTATCGCCTTCATAGAAGCCACAATGGATCGGCTCGGGTGTCCACAATCGTTCATCCTTGCAATATGGGTCCTCTTGCGTCCGTGAATCCATAGAATCGAAACACGGCATGAAATAAATAATAAGAATAATAATTGCTAATAATAATATAGTAATAAGAATAATAATAGATTAGGAAGAAGAATAAGAACTGAATAGGAACAAGAATTGTTTAAGAATTCAAACATGTATTGTAGGAGCACGGAATCCTCTTCACTATTCAACTACACAGCTGAGTCACGGGATCAGAATATTCCTTGAAGTCTGAGTTGTCAGGATTTTCCCCGCAATTTTTAGCTGCAGCTCAGATTTTGTCGTCCAAACGCTACGGATAGGCAATTAAAAGTAGTCTCCTGACAGCTTATTTCTTCCTGGAAAAAGAATTTTAATGAAGAGGTGTAGTACAAATGGGAAGATAAGATATATACAAATAAGATAAAGAAGTAAGAATGGGCAAAGTTTTAGTTGTTATCATAATCTAATCTTAGTGCTTTTTCATACTGTTGCTCTGATACGGCCTTTAGTAGTAGTAAATGATAACTCGTTTACTTTTGGTGCAAGTTCAATGTAGAATATTCCGTGGGAATAAGATTAATGAATCAATGATTAAAATAGTAACTAGTGTGTCATGTGATAGTGGTTAAGACTGTCTATGTGCATGGAGAGGCCAACAACTCGATTCTACCACACTAAGAGGAGCAGAAAAGAAGCCAACGGACCTTTCACGGCTGATCAGAAAAAGCACGTTAGAAGAAGAAAACATGGAAGAGTGCAATATAAAGGCCTTCATTTACATAAAGGCTGATCGGGTAGCATAGTTACTGTATAATCAGATGGTTCAGCTTCAGAGCAAATTTTATCTGATAGTATAATGTTTTGGTAGAAAAATAGTTAAACAATACAAATGAAGACTGCATAGGCGTAAACTTATACATAAATGCGAGAAGTGTTAAAGATAGAAAGAGCTGTTACTGTTTAACAGGTAGAGAACACTTAAGATTTTTTTACTAACACAGTGAATAATTTATCATTTAAGCTTCAAATGGGCCAAAACAGGCCAAACAGGCCTTAATCCATATCTGGTCTATATAATTACTTGCAGTAGCTTGGTGATATCTGTGCTAAATAACTCTGATACCAATTTGTCGACCACGGAGGAATGGAAGTCTCGATGAGCCCGAGCGTGAAATCGAATCAACAAACACATTCAATACAGGGCACCCTTAACTACTGCGATTGAAAATTCTGGCTACCATTGCTGTTCTCTCTTGAAAAAACAACAGTATATAATGCTGAGATTTTGCAAAACTCCGGACTGCAGTTGTATGCGGTAGGGAACGAACGCGCTATTGTCCTTTCCGGGGAGTAGCGCGCTTCATCACCGGGTCCGGGTCTTTCGTTTTACCTGTCTCTCAGCTAGTTTTATCGATATTTTGCCATCAGCAATCACCCGTCAACGGGATCTTTTTAATAGCAGGGTATGTTGCGGAAAAGAAAAAGGCAGTAAATAAAAGGGTTAAGATTGTGATTATAACTAAGCCTCAGCTTAACTGGGTTCAATGCCGATTTGGGCTCCCCAGATTAGTCCCGTTGACGTGTGATTGCTGATGGCAAAAGATCAATAGAACTAGCTGAGAGACAGGCAAAACGAAAGACCCGGATGGTGTGGTCGTGAAGTGCGCTACTCTCCGGAAAGAACAATAGCGCGTTCGTTCCCCACCGCATACAGCTGCAGTCCGGAGTTTTGCAAATATCTCAGCATTATATACGAGTTATATTTCGCAGCATACCTTGCCAGTAAAAAGAAAAAGGCAGTAAATAAAAGGGTTAAAAACAGCAGTTTTAGTAGTTAACGCTTGTAACCAGCAGTGTTATGAAAATAGATTAGTTTCAGGAGAGGAGAACAATGTCATTTGTGAGCTGCTTATCGTGTTGATAAGCTGGTGTCTAAAGTCTTTGGAGTTCATATTTTAAGAATTCTGCATGCTTCAGCAGCTACGAAAACATCGCCACCACGGCTACAGGTGAAGCAGGTCGTTTTTAAACATTGACGTCAAAAGTGGGTTCAGCCAAGGGGATACCATCTCGCCAAAATTATTTACTGCCGCCCTCCAGAACGCCATGCGAACATTGGAATGGGATAATGTGGGAATGGAAATCGATGGTCAGCAGTTACACCAACTTTGATTTGCTGATGACATCGTCATAACATCAAACATTACCCAAGCGGTACGTATGCTTGGCGACTTTGATAAAGCCTGTGGAAAGACTGGTCTTCGACTAAATCTCACAAAAACGATGTTTATGAAGAACGGATTGGTTTCGCATGCCCCATTCACGCTCAATGGAACGATTATCTTCGAATGCCCATCTAGGTCAGGAAATCAACATGTTGAACGACTTAGCACCAGAGCTGAGCAGAAGGAAACGAGTGGCATGGAGAGCTTTCAAGAGCATCGAGGATGTAGTGTAGAGAACAGAGAACACACTGCTCCGTGCCCAGCTTTTCGATTCAACTCTACTTCCTGCCCTAATGTATGCGCCAGAAACCTGGTCGCTACGTAAGCAGGATAAAAGACCACTCAGTGTTTTAGAATGCGCAGTCGAATGGGCTAGGAGTATCCCGTTTCACACAACTAAGGGATGAGATACGAAGCTCTGATCTGCGTGAACGATCAAAAACCAAAAATGGCTTTTTGTACGCCAAACAGTCGAAGATAAGGTGGGCCGGACACGTAATGCGTTTGAGTGGCAATCGATGGACAAGAGCCGTTAGTGACTAGATTCTTCGGGATGTTAGACGCACTTCAAGAAGACCACCGACTCGATGGTCATGACAAACCTAGAAGAAAAATACAATGATCGACGAGTCCCTAGAGCGTGCAGAACCCACTGGGCTACTCTTGCACGCGACAGGGAAAAGTGGAAGGTTTACTGGTGCCCGCTCTAGTCACTCGATGATCAACAGAGCTACAAGTGATACAGGTGATACAGGTGATATTCTCAGTATTCCGCTAACGGTTTATCCCCTCATCGTGGCGGCAGGTGTTCTTGGGTGTTCGGTTGCGTTGTACAGCAGGGGGATTCATCTCCCAGCCCAGGTCCTCCATGATGAGGAGTACGGCGCTTACATCACGAAGCCCAGCGAAGAGTAAACCAATACTAGGATCCACCACCGTCCTGCTATGAAACTAGTCGAATGGTGACAAATCTCCCACTGATCCACAAAGGGGGCTAGTGCCTGTGGTAGTGATGACCCGAAGCAGACTTAGGCCAAGCGGACCTCGGGACTCCGGGACAACACAATAGCTAAGCCAGCAGAACTCCGAAAAATGGAGGTTACGCTGGGAACCGCGCATCCAGTGAGGATGGGCTATCGAGGTATACAAGTATGTATACACTCAGTATTGTTCGTATTCTTGCTGAGCAAACACGTGGTGTTATTTTACCTTTTATTCACGAACAAGCTGACGCTTCGGCGGATTTCACCTTCATCAGAGCCGCTTTCTATGAGTCTTCCACTGAGTATGTCGCGTGGAGACCAATCGCCTAGAATTCGCATGGAAGCGTAATGTCTACGTCTAATATCCCAGTGGAAGACTCATAGAAAGCGGCTCTGATGAAGACGAAATCCTCCGAAACGTCAGCTTGCTCGCGAACGAAGAATGAAATAACACCTCGCGTTTGCTCAACAAGAATGCGAAAAATTACTCCATCAATGCCGAGCTTAATAGAAAGTCGGTTGTTAATAGAAAGACTTAGTATTGTCTCTGTTAAAGGGTGGGTAATGTAGTAGTATTGATCTCCTATGCCGATGGTCCTAAATACGCAGACATTGCTTTGACGTCGGTTCAGGCCAAACAAGGTCTCATCTGCCCTTGATCGTAAAATTTGTATCAGAGTTATCTGGAAAAAGATGATTTACTCTAATACACGTGTAAATGTCCTATCACGGTTAACTATGGTTTCCAAGAGGAATCCACTCGATCAGAACTCAAAAACGTTTGTGACATAGACGAAAATGTTGTCAAACAGTAGCCGAAGTCAAACGCAAAAAAAATTCCAAGACATTAACGGACGGTGGATGCGAGGAAACAAATCAAGAGAATGAAGTGATAGGATGCGCACAGCGCTATACAGCTGGTGTCGGTAAAAAAAAACAACAGTTCTCTTTTTTAAAAGAAACTATTAGCAACTAGTAAAAGCAAAAGCTCCCCGACGTAGTTGAAGCCGTTCTTGTAATGGAAGGAAGTCGTTTTCCTGAAACAGTTTTCAATGTAGGATGCAATGTCTTCAGATAATCCAACTGTCCTTTTGAGAAGTATTGATTTTTTTCTGCACCACTGCTGATAATTCATCAAATTAAATGTTGGTGACATTGTTTTCCTTTCTCCCTGCCCATTGATCATCTTTCTCATCTGGTCGGTTCCCCATCACTAGAATACGAAAACACTTCGTTGTGAACACTCCGACTGGCTATAAGTCTAGTCCCTCCACTTTTCTTCTCAGTAATGTCGCGGATTATGAATAACCTGACCCATAACCTAATAACCTGAGCCCAATCAGTCAATATTTTCCAAGGTTGGGAATTATACGGCATCCATTCCATTTTTATATTCTCGCTGAAAATCTCATCTGAAAATCTTCGGAGTATAGTTAGATTGTAACGTGATCTCTTCGTTTTAGATAAGATCTACGAAACGCGTTGGATGAATTAGTTTAGATTGGAAATGGCTACCAAAAAAGCCTTTAAAACGTTTTCCATCACCTTTCCAGTAACAGAACGAATTAGATTTTGCCGAACGGATAGCAGAAGTTGCAAAGTTATTTAAAAATTGCCTTCCCTTTTCTATGCCTCCTTCCACAGCATCCTTTTCTTGGAAGCCTTAACAGTATATTAAATAGATTTACTATATTTACTTGCAAAAAACTTGTTTCCTAAATCAGCTGTGTAGTGTCAGTTGATGCGCAAGCCATTCCAGTGTCGGTTGATTGTCATATGGTCACCACTTATTTATTTCAGAATCGCCAAATACGTTTTCTCAAAATTGGAAAAAAAGGTTCAAAAAGAAGGAGCAAAAGCAATTTATCCCAAATCCTCCTAACTCGATGAGACTCATCGGTTATGTATGAAAGTTATAGGGTTGTGTGCAACTGATGCGCGCTGCTACACATTTTTCGGTGAGCAGTGGCCTACATAGTCATTGCCTTCCATAGTTCCCAGCTAGTTTGGAAACCGTTCTGTAGTACTTTAAAGATGGCTCCATCGTTCTGTTAACCTTTAGTCGCCCTACATTCCTTCCATCTTGTAATACTTGTCACCAAATTTTGTTTCCTACACCTAATGTTTTCCATTTTACTTCATCACCCATTTTCTGAATCGTTGACAGGAATCCTGATTATGCATAGTATAGTATACAGTTGTTACAGCATCTGTTGCGCAATAGAGAGAAAATGTTCAGAAAACTCGTTTTTTTGCTGGTAGTCGCTGCCACCCCGAATTTCACGGACGCGGAATGCCTAACAGTAAGTTCGAATTTCCGCTTCAGGTGTCAAACTTTTTGATTGTGTCATTTGCTTTCGACGTCTTATCTTTGTTCGTTTTTCTTATTCAGGTTTGACGTAGTCTTGGAAGTGAATTTCAGCACAATTTTCCCAAAATGAGTAAAAAGGTTTCTAATGTGAGTTGCTAATCAAAAATGCTTTATACGCACGGCATAACAGCCGAGAAAAACTAAAATAGGTAAAAAGTGTGCCAAAAAAGAGATGGCTGGTGAAAATAAGTAGCCAGTGAGCGAGAACAAATTATGTTACCCAATGTTTTATCGCGACAGAGGAAGAAGTCACGAGACAATCCGGAATGACAGCTGCTGTCAAAATTGATGTCCAACGAATTTTTTTCTGGAGGAACACGCATTCAATTCATATTTCCAAGCTGATTTTGCCTTGAATCAGATATTATTCCATATTATTTATTTTACATGACTTATTTTCACGTTAACGACCTCCCAACGGTCTACCGCCTCATCGTGGCTGGAAGGTGTCCCTGGGTGTCGGGATGCGATGTACAGCGGGGGGATTAATTCCCTCGGCAGGGTCTCCCCAGCTGATAAGGAGTCCGGCGTTTCAACCACTACAAGGGTCCCCCACCGTCCTGGTCGCATAGTGGTAATTTCCCCTCTAACTCACAAGAGCAGCGAGTGCCTCTGGTGGAGACGACCTGGAGCGGACTTTGGCCTAGCTGAGCTCGGAACTCCAACGAACCACAATGCCGAACCATTATGTTAGGACCCGCACAACCAGTGAGAACGGGTCATTCAAGTATCCAAGTATTTTCACGTCTATGGTACTGATCGTAGCACTTCATTTTGATTTTTTTGTCGCATACACCATTCACCAAGATCTTCGAGCCTTTACGCTTGGGTTTTGATTCTGTTTGAGTTTTTCGTCTTCGTTATGAATGTAGAGTCGTAGGATAGGAATACTAAAGCGTTTATGGGATTGTGCTGTGCAGGGTCAGTTTGGCAAGAGAATATTCAAGGATGGCGGCCACATTACCCGTATGTAATTAGATAGCTTTTCACTCGAGTCATCCTAAACAGGATTGACAGAACACTGGACGAAGGACAACCATGTGAGCAAGCAGGGTTTCGAAAAGGATCTAGTACGATGGATCACACCCGCTCGATAACAAGGCTCACTTCAAGATAGTTCATATTGCGGGAGTAGAAGAGACTGCTCTGTTTCACTTTTACCGATTTAAAGCTTTAGACTCAGTTGAGGTAGAAGCAGTCTTGGAAGCCTTGGACAGACAGGAATTCACTGCTCAATATGTAAAGATTCTTTGTGAGCTTTACAACAAGGTCACAATCAAAAGGGTGTCCCACAAAGCGATATCATCTCGCTGAAATTATTTACCGCTATCCTCGAGAATGTCGTGCGAACACTGAAATGGTACAACATAGGAGTGAAAATCGATGGTCGCAGTTAGACTATCTTCGCTTGCTGATGATATCGTCCTTCTAACACCAAACATTAGCCGAGTTAAACGAATGCTTGGCGACTATGATAAACAGCCAGTAGAAAAACAGGTCTTTGACTAAGTCGCACAAAAACGATGCCCATGAGGCATTCACGCTCAACGTAATGGATACCTCTGAATGCTCCGGTTACGTCTTTCTTGCTCAGTAAATTAACATGGTAAGAAGGAAACGAGCGGTTTGGAGAGCTTTCAAGAGCATCGAGGATGTAGTGAAGAGAACAAAGAACACCCGACTTCCTGCCCACCTTTTCGACTCACTTCCTACCCTAACGCATGCGTCAGAGACCTGGTCGCTGCGTAAGCAGAATGAAAGATCACTCGGCGTTATCGAACGCACAGTCGAAAGGACGATGCTAGGAGTATCCCGTTTCACACAAGTAATGGAAAGGATCCGAAGCACCTATTTACGTCAGTGATGAAAACTCAAAGACGCTGCTCTATAGGTTATATTGTGTCGAAGACAGGGACAGACAGGGTTGACAGGTCACATACATGTAATGTGTATGAGCGACAGCGGATGGATAGAAACCGTTAGTGACTGGTCTTCGGGATGTCAAATGTACTACAAGAAGGCTACCGATCCAGTGGTCAAAGAGCTTTTCACAAGAAACCTAGAAGAAAGATATGATGCTCAGTGAGTCCCTAGAGCAAGTAGGTCCTACAGGGCTACTCCAGCACGCGACGGGGAAAAACGTAGAAGTGGCCTCCGCTGGAGTCACTCGGCGATCAACCTGTCAAGTGGTGATGAAGGTGAAGTGCAGTTACTTAACATATTCGCGACGCCCAATGTTTAGCGAAACTACCGCTTGAGATGACGCCTAATTATTAGCTTTCACAGAATTCTTGGTTTTTTGGCAGTAAACTGTAATTTATCAATAGCTAGTAAATTCGAGGTGTTCTTAACATGATATCTTCATGACAGACACACTGCTCCATCAACTGGGCATAAATGGTATGTATGCCGTTGTTTAGTATATGTTACTACGGGCGATCGTACACGTTGTCGCCAGCAGTTAGAAGTATTTTCAACATGAGCTGTATGTATTTCGGTACTTTTTATATTCTCACATTCCATACTGAAGTAACAGTGGATCACCAGTGAAGTCATTAAAAAGCGAAGTCATTCGAGGAAAGGTTTCTTATATAGAAAAAAGGATAAAGCTGTCGGCGTTGATCAATCCCAGAGGGATGCGCCATGTATTCGACTTCTTTAAGCGTCGTTTGGAAGTGATTGAATGCATTTCTGGCCTTTACAATGACTCGCGGTGGCCTACCTATGTATTGAGTCTGGTATCAATTTGCCGACCCCGGAGGAATAGAAGGCTTGGTGGGTCATTTCCACAGGGATGGATTTCACGTGTGTGTTGCAGGGCGCCTCCGACCACAGTGCCACACGCGCCCTTATAAGGTTTCTTATATATTTCTAAATGCGGATTAGAGTTTGGCTGCCGACGACTGCCACAGCGGCCGTGCTGATTGAACAATCGATCAATTACGAGAAGTCTACGAAAGAAATCTGTGTGCCAAAATAAGGTATCAGAAAAAAAAGTGACCACTACTTAGGTCAAAGCGGACATTCGGCCTATGCTTATGATTGTACAGCATGCGCGCCGTCCATTATGTGTTAATTCATTCAAATCGAACGAAATGTAAAACCGCGTATACTTTGTTACTTAGTTGTAGCTAGCCTTACACATTTTTAAAAGACACCTTGATGTTATAAAAGTTGGATGACAATCATTATTTAATTTTCGCGCTATGATTTCTTTTCCAGAAGAGTCGACCGGAATACCACAATTTCCCTTCTGGTTTTAAATGGTCTGTAGCGACTTCCGCTTTTCAAATCGAAGGTGCATCTAAGGAGGATGGTGAGATCAGTTTAAAAGTTTTGCAACTGCAGAACGAAAAAGAGATAAGAATATATCGGATCATTTTTCTCACCAAGGCATTCCAGTCGTAACAACAACCGAGTTTCAAGAAAAAGGAAAAATACTAACTCGTTGTTTCTATTCTAGAAGAATTTCACTACCAATGGTTTGTTAATGAAGTTTGTCACAAAGGAATTTGTTCATACACAAGTTAAGAACTGTAGTACACTTCTTTAATAATGGAACTTAAAGTTTGAAAAGAAGGGCGAAAAAGGAACACTGCATTCTGATTTCCCACATTTAGTAAGCAATAAAATAAACACAAAGTCTATTAATACCAGATGGAACTAAAATCCAGCGATCCAGAGTTAGTAAAGATTTCAGGGAGGGGTCCAACGATTTGGGACGAGTATCAAAAGAAGCCAGGAAAGATCATCGACAATTCAACGGCGGACATTTCATCTGATAGCTACCACAAATTTCGCGAAGACATTAAGCTGTTGAAATCACTCGGAGTAAGTGTGAATGAGATCAGGAATAAGCGTTGCTACCACCATCTCAGATTTTCATTAGTTTAATGCATTCTTGTTTCATTCCTACTTGATGACTTGGTTTTGAAAGCCGTTGCAGGTCTCTCATTATCGATTTTCTCTCTCGTGGTCACGCATGTTTCCCACTGGTGTCACTACGAATCCAAATCTCAAAGGAATACAACACTACCATGCTGTCATTGATACTCTTATCGAGAACAATATTGAGCCGATGGTAGGTAATATGGAAAGCTGATCCAACTATGAAGATAAAATGGTGTTGAGCCAACCATCTGTCTTTTGGAACTGCAGTACGAGGTTCACTTTTGCTGAAGGAAAGCGAGGAGTAGTGGTTTAAACAAAAACTGTTATTTCGTGAGAAATTCTTCTGTGTCAAATCAGACTCATCATCCCTCGTCAACAACACACGGGTGGTCTAACGGCAAGGCTCTGATGAGGGCAAGGTCGCCGAGACGTCGGGCATTAAACAGAAACAGTCATAACGATAAGAACATCTATGCCAAGCTCTCCTCGGCTATAAAAGGGTGGCTTCCAAAAACATAAGTACAGATATACCAAATTAGATGCTTCATCTATGTGAACTGATTATCATAGCGATGACAGTAATTGAAGCTGCCGTCTACCACAGACTTTCATGTTTCAAACCCCCCATGCCGAATTAATGCCTCACATCTGCAGGAAATCAGATGGTTTTTACCAATTGAAGTCAGTCTGCTTTTCAGGTCACTCTTTATCACTGGGATCTTCCGCTTGCGCTTCATGACGCTGGAGGTTGGCTAAACAAAGAAATCGTTAAGTGGTTTCGCCTTTACGCTGTGTTTTGCTTCAGAGAGTACGGAAATAAGGTCAGTCAAACCAAACAAGTTTATTACGTATTGCTTAAATTGATCTAGTAGCGTCTACATTTGAAGAATCCAAAGACGTAGAAGTTTTTGTTAGCTTATTCTACAAGAGTGTGTGACACAATTTAATTCAACGTAGCAATCTTTGATGCTTATTCATTGTAAGCCAAATCTTAAGTATAAGTGATGCTCACTCTTTAATAAAGTAGTTTTCATTTAAAATTTCCATGATTAGTTTTTGGCTATGCCGAGGTATTCAATCTAAAAAGCACTTGTCAAAAAATAAGCACAAATTGGACCGTGGAACAGAAGTGCTTGTCATTGCAAGGCAACAGAGAGTGATAAGGTTGAGCAAGATACGTTTAGGTGAAGCTTTGGGTCACTCTCAATGAGCCATTCGCTCAAGCAGCCTTCGGATACTGTGGAATTAAGGGCGAAGACGCTCCGGGTGGATTTCAGGTAAATAAGGGAACGATATAACTAGTAAGTTTTCCTTTATACTAAGGCGATGAAGAAAATCTTAGGAACATTGCCACTGGGCCCAGTACCTGGTTGGCCACCATATGCTTCTCGCCCACGCTCATGCTTATCGCGCCTACCATGGTTTACCTTATAAACTGAAAGGTTGTCTTAAAAACCTCTTAAAGAAAAATGAGAAAATGCATAATTTCTACATTATGAAGGAAAAATTGGCATTGTCAACGGTATGGTTTGGGTGGAACCTGAGTCGGAGTCTGAAAACGAATTTGCGGAAGAGGTTCGACAGTGGACGGTTGACTGGTTCACTCATCCGCTTTTTGAAGGTTTCTTGATTTTGTGTTGAAAATTTCTCCTTACCATTAAAGAAAAAAACTTTGACAAGTGTTAGATGAATGTCCTGGCTCATCCCGTTTTTGATTAGATTCACTTTTAAATCAAATGCAGGACAAAAATATAATCATTGTCATAGAGATCTAATAAGGTTTTCTATCATAGGCAGCTTACATATAGGCAGTCGTTCTCCCATTTATTTCTGTACTTTATAAAAGACACCGCTGAGTGAAGTTAACCATTCGAGCAGTGTTTCCCTATTGGATTCAAGATGATGCGAGAACGAACCATCACATCTAGTTGTAGACCATCGACTCGAACCTGAAGAAAACGAAAACTTTGAAGCGTCACCTGTATAAATTTTCTTATCAACTTCGCGTTTTCCTAATAATCGAGGACAGTATCTAATCGTCTTTTTAGCACTCGATAGCATGGTGTTTCCAGTGAATTGCAGCTCAACATAGAGCTTAGTTTTTAAAGGCGGTTTAACGCGCAAGATGCAATTTAAGTACGCAAAAAAGCTCATCTACATAAGCATACGTGAATCCGTCCACGTACATGTGATCGAAAACTCAAGCAAACGCGGAAACCAGTAAAAGTTTATCGCATGAAATCTAAGGGAATATGCAAGATCTTTTTTTGTTCCACTTATCCTTCTCACTTAAGTTCGTGACGAGTCAGCTTGAGATCTCACATTTGAGATCCGCGTGGGTTAAAATCATAATCAACATTATTACATTTGTGAATGCACATGGTCGTGTTTTTTTTCAGGCGACTACCCGGCAAAGATGCGAAAAATTATTGACATGAACTCCAAGGCGGAAGGTAGGAGTGGAAGCCGGCTGCCATATTTCACTCCCTATGAACAGGACGTGCTTATAGGTGCGTACTCTCTTTATGTTAAGCACTTCTGTAAAGCATACCCTGTATAGGTCACTAATAATATTTTGAAATCTATTCGGCTTTCCTTCTGCGGCAGTTGCAAACCTTTTTTGGAGGAAGTGCAGTTTTTAACGTAGGGTAGTTGTTGGTCACCAAATTGGAAACTGAACGCAGAATAGTGCTAGAAGTGCAGTTAGCCCTCTCACCATTAACTACGTATCGTGGAAATGCTAAAACTTGATAAATGATGAAAAAATACAGCTGTTGGGATTTAAAAGAAAGCTGATTGCTGAAGCTGTCTTTTTCATAAATGGTCGGGCAAATACTAGCGCAGTTTCTCTTCGAGCGCTAGTGTACTTGGTTTACTGTATTACTAAAATGTAAAGACATTCTAGGCTCCTTTGATTTTCTTGGAGTGAACTATTATATTACACATTTTGTTCGCCGATTTCGACAAGGAGAAAAAGGGTTAGCGTTTCTCGACACTTTATTCTATAAAAGAAAAATATTTTGCTCGCTGTTGGAATGACATATATACAGTGTCGCTGTGTGTTTTTCAATCCATTAGTGTTTTTTGTCTTAATGAGACAGATTTTTACATGCTTAACATCGCATTAATAACTGGAAATCTTCATTTTTTTTGCTACTTTGATAAGGATTTAGTGTACGCGAAGCCATTGGCTACGATATTGATGGGATATCCTATTTGAGTACGAGGGACATGCCGTAAGTCTCCTTCATCTTCAATGGTCGAATTCTATGCGATCTATCTCATAAAGTCTCGTTCACATTTAGGAACATTGCTATCTAATCATATATATTTCGCCCTCTTTAAAATTTAATGAACAGACCGTATTAGATGAGCATTTCCAGAGTGGGGGATAAAGATTCCTGGCTGAGAAGCCATCCTTCGGGTTTGCGAGCGCTATTAAACTACATCCGCTACCAATACGATAATCCGGAGGTGAGGATGTGATTAATAAATTTCAACATTCCGTATTAACACTGAGAAAACCACGAAAGAATGGACGATGGCTAATGTACTTTCGTACGTCCCATTCGTACGATGCCTAGTTTTTAAAATTACCAAGATTTGTGAAATATTCCAGCTAATTTCTTTAAGACAAGGTGATTTTGGTAAAATTTTTGCTACAAAATAACCATAATAGGCTTTCAACTACACTGTTGTTATTTCAAGGTGTTCATTACTGAAAACGGTTGCATGGACACTCCTGGTGAATCCCTCAATGACGTCACGAGGATGCGATATTTGAGAGAGCACATCGCCGCTGTTTCACAAGGTGGGCAGAATATTCCTGCAGGATTATCAGCGCATATCAATTCCAGAACTTCAGTGATGAGTGTCATAAACGGCAAAATTGTCCCTCACGAAAAATTGAGCCTCCGAAAGATTGTTTTGTACATTCTGTTGCATCAAATGACGACATACATTCCACGTTTTCGGGTGTCAACTGAGGAAGCAGTAAAGTGCTCTTTCCTGTGCCAACCTCACTGGTGTGTCACGCCCTCAGGATGATAGACTTAGCTTACCAGAGTGAGGGATGGTCAAGTCAAGTACTGAAGTCACAAAACACGATGCTTATGCCATGTCTAAAATTACCATTTTTTAGCAATCGTCGACGGGTGTAACGTAGTGGGCTACACTTTATGGAGTTTGATAGACAATTTTGAATGGACTGCCGGATACACAAAGTTGTTTGGCATACACGAGGTGAGGGTGATTGTTAGGTAGATATGATCTCGTATTTTACATACAACGCTCTTTAGTACTTATTGTTTACAACAGACCCTGGAAATTTTCAACCCGACCGGGGGAGAATTAGTTCTTGAGAAGATTCACATAATTTTTTTCTCAAGTCATGAGAATAGTTTGGCATGTTGTCATTGTTTACCATTTAGCAAGTACAATGTTTTCGAGAAGACAGCTATTTCTCGCTCCTGTCTGACGAACTATATTTGTCACCAAAGCGATATTAAAAAGATAAAAAAGTGAAGCTTTCAGAGTTGATCAATCCCTGAGCGATGCACCATGCATTCGACTTCATTAAATGAATGCAAATTGAATGTAATTGAATGCATACCTAGCCTTTACAATGACTCGCGGTGGCCTACCTGATGTATAGATCCAGTGCTTCTATCCTCCCAGAGAAGTGTGGCACTAATTTGCCAACCCCGGAGTGATGGAAGGCTTGGTGGGCCATGGGCGCCCGAATCGATTCCACGTGGGTGTGTTGCAGGGCGCCTCCGACCACTGCGCCACGCGCGCCCGATATAGCGATGTTACTAATAGGAAACTAATATGCCTTTCAACTTTTCTTTCATAGTATTCTTATCTGTTCGTGCATTAAGGTAGATTTCACATCGCACTCCCGTACTCGTACGCCGAAACACTCCGCTAAGCTCTATGCTGATATTATTCGCAAGAACTCCGTGGTTCTTGTCGAAGGTACGTCCACGAAGATTTGCGTTCTTTAGGATAAAATTACGTGATATTATAAAATTAAACTCTTATGTTTTTCAGACTGCTTATGGGATGATTAGAGAGCTCGATAAGGAGCGATGTCTTCTATTCACCTTCGGCCGTTTCAAATTGATAACAGCGACAGAGGAATAAATATTCCTTTAAGGAAAATCTCCATGGCCGTTCTAAATAACTCTCTGATTATTTCTGGCACATACTAAGCAAAGTCATTGAAATAAAAGTGATCTGGTAGAGCTTTGGTATTGGCCTTTTTGCATACTAAACCTATGAATGCCTGGCAATCATAGCTTGTATCACAGCTTCTCAGTAATTTTTTAGGGCACAATGAGCGAGCTGATCCACGCGGTGGGGGCGGAGCCACATGTCCCTTGCTTTCACCATGCAAGCCCGTGTTCCAAAGTTCATGGGTTCATTCTTGTTAAAGCTGACATCTAAGTCGTTTATGACGTTAGCTTTACGTGCACACATACCCTTAAAGTTCATAGAATTTTCGTTAAGCAACAGGAAGAAAACTGCATTACATGTTTGTTTTTCAACTTTTTCAAACCTCCTTCTTCAAGCTCAACCGAGGACCAGTTATCGGGCACAATTGTGAGATAAAATGAAAATAAATGGGTTTGTTTATGAGTAAGTCCGAGACAAGTAGAGATGGCGTTCTTCCTTACTCTTTCTGATCCTGTGCGTATCACCTTCGTGTATTAAAAAGCAGTCATCTTTGCCTTGCGAGTCGCTTCTCTCTGAAGTATTCTTAAAATATCAAGCTTCTTGTCATTACAGTAATGGTAGTAATGTGCCGATTTAATTTTTGAACAGTGTCGTACTAGATTGTAACATACGAAATGTCCGATTTTATTGTTTTAAGTCTAATGTAATTTTTAAATAAAAAATTTGTTCTTTATGTGTACTTAATATATATTTTTGAAGCACAAAATCTGCTTTTTTATTCTAATACTAGTTTTCCTTAAAGTCATTATTTTAAAGTCTTTGTAAGCTTCAACTTGGGTATGAATCAACGTGACCTCCCAACGGTTAACCGCCTCATCGTGGCTGGGAGGTGTCCCTGGGTGTCGGACTGCGACGTACAGCGGGGGATTCGTCTCCCTGGCAGGGTCTCTCAAGCTGAGGAGTCCGACATTTTCATCAGGAACCCTAGCTAAGAGTAAACTAATACCAGGGTCTACTAGCGTCCTGGTATCAAGGTCGTATGCTGAAAAATCTCCCTCTGATCCACAAGGGCATCGACTGCCTGTCATGGTGACGACCTGGGGCAGACTTTGGCCAGACTGTCCTCGGGATTCCAAGCAGCCATAAAGCCTTAACCAGCAAATCTCCTAAAAATAGTGATTATGCTGGGGCCCGCACAACTAGTGATGTCGGACCGTTCAAGTATCGTGTATCACGGATCAACGCGATATCTGTGTCCTTTTTTGTAGGAGTGGAACAGCGGACATAATGCCGCGGCAGGAGCTCGGAACGTCATCAAGTTTCAGGTGAAGGTAGTGTTAGTGAACCAACAGTGCAAAAATGATTTAGGATACTCCGATCTAGTGAATTTGACCTCGAAGTTCAGGAAGGCCGCGGACGCCCCAACGAACTCGACGACGATGAATTGAAGGCATCAGTGGAAGCAAACACTTGAACAATTGTTCTATGTCTGGCGTGACAGCTTCGCGTAATCGTAGAAACAATTTCCACTCATCTAAATCGCACAGAAAAGGCAAAATCCTCAACAAGTGGTTGCTGCACGAATTAAACGATAATCGAAGAAGTCGCCGTCTTGAAGTGTCGTCTGATCTTATTCTGCGCAACGGAAATGACCATTTTCTTGGTTGAATTGTGATTTGTGATGAGAAGTAGATTCATCCGACAACCGGAGAGGCGTTCACGTCAATGGTTGGATTGTGATGAGGCTCCACAGCACTTCCCAAAATCCAAATTCACCAAAAAAAGGTTATGGTGACTGTTTCGTGGTCTACAGCCCGACTGATTCATCACAGCTTTTTGAATAGGGGCGATGCGATCACGCCAGAGAAGTATTGCCAACAGATCTGCGAAATACACCGTAAACTCCAGCAACAACTACCGGCATTAGTCAATAGAAGGAGATCAAGCCTTCTACACGACAATTGCCGGCCTCGCGTTGCGCAACCAGCGCTGCGGAAACTGAACGAGTTTTGCTACGAAACTTTTTTCTCATCCGCCATACTCAATAAACCTCTCTCCTACTGCCTATCACTTCTTCAAGCACCTTGACAACTTAGTTCGCGAGAAATGCTTCACCAACCACGATGACGCAAAAAATGCCTTCAACGAATTCATCGCTTCCAGAACCTCAAGCAATTAAAATAAGTAAATTTGTTTCTTGTTGGAAAAAGTGTGCTGATTTCAACGGTGTTTTTTGATTAATAAGACTTATAATCACAATTTTAACTTATTATCTACTGCCTACTCTTTTTAACGGCAGTGTATACATTGTCCTCAGCTTAACTGGGTTCGCTGCCGATTTGAACTCCCCAGATTAATCCCGCCGACGGGTGATTGCTAATGGCAAAAGATCGATAGAAATAGCTGAGAGACAAGCAAAACGAAGGACCCGCGCTGTGTGGTGGTGAACGCGCTACTCGCCGGAAAGGACAAAAGCGCGTTCGTTCCCCACCGCATACACCTGCTGTCCGGAGTTTAGCAAATATCTCAGCATCATTAAAGTAATAAAGCTTAGTTTGAAAACAGTTATTACATTTAAAATCAGACACTTCACGTGTTACAACCTAATAGAAAGGTGCCACAGAGAGTGTATATATTTTTGGCTTCCATCGATAATCTTGTGTCGACTCGTTTTGAGTCAGTAGTGGTGTCGCACAGATGTCTTTGTAGATTTTGGCAGAATTTTCGTGCTCTTTCCTTCCAACGCTGTTGTATCGAGGCCGTTTCCTTCTCAGTATAATGGAGTTCATTATGTTTGCTGTTTTGGTGAAAGAAACCCTGTACAGCTCTCCAGGCTCTTCCATGAAGGTTAAATATATTTGCACATGCCTTCATGAGTGTGCTTACGTATATTTTGAAAGAGTGCATCAATGTTGTTTGCCACAAGCATTAAGCCCATCACAATGGGTGAGTAGGACCAGTGATACCTCGAACGACAACCGCTGGACAGAAATTTTTAGAAACTGGCTTCTACGTGATATCAGGCTCGTAATAGAAAGACTACTTATCCGATTTCTATAAAACTGCAGTAATAGCTGAAAAAATTATACCGTAGTGTTCTTCCTATTTCATATATCTTAATTGAAAACTGCTATGCAGAGTCAACAGGCGCGGTACCGATCGAGGCTCTAGTGGCACACGCTTGAGTTGCTGGGCGAACAACTGGAATATGGATGACAGAAACGTTGTAATTCCTTTATGTAAAATATATATGTATAATATAATAAGGCTTTTTTATGCAATATAACATAGTAATATAATATGTGCATGATATAGGCATAAATAATATAATACACTATTACAGTAATATTAGGCAATAATATAACAAAATTATTAATATAATGTGATAATATATAATGTGTAAGGGCGCGTGTGGCGCAGTGGTCGGAGACGCCCTGAAACACACCCGTGGAATAGATCCACGCACCCATGCCCCACCAAGCCTTCCATCCATCCGGAGCGGCAAATTGGTAGCAGACCTGTCTAGGAGGATAGCAGCACTGGCTCAATACATAAGTAGGTCACCGCAAGTTATTGTAAAGGCCAGATATGCATTCAATTTCCTCCAACGATACTTAATGAAGTCGAATGCATTATGCATCCCTCAGAGATCGATCGACGTCGAGAGCTTTACCGTTTTATCCTTTATATGATGTGTACAAGACATCAAATGTATTATACGATATGATATACACGTGATAACATTGTTCGAGCAACTTATTCCTCTGGGGTCGGGTAAATGGTGCCGGATTTGTCTGGGAAACGGCCACTCTGCAGTTGAAGTAAGAACGCTCTAACTTGGCTATCTCAAGACTCCGGAGGGAATCAACTCGACCAGAATTGAACAACATTTATGGTGAAAGAGAAACACTGAAGCAGCAGCCGAAATCACATATAAAAAGCTGGATGACCTTTCCTCGAATGTGATAAGCGCCGAGATCCGCGCAGTAGAGGTGAAGGACCGATTATGCAGAAAAAAAGATGTTTGATTAGTAATGGATTTATAACTCAAATGGCCGTTCGACAAAAGCGTGCAACGAAAATATCTACTCGTTCTTTTCCTTAGACAATTTTATATTAAAGTGAGTTTCCACTACGTTTATGCTTTCGTTTGCTAGTTTTTTATTTCAATTTTCTATTTTGCTAAACACTTTTGTTTTCTAGTACACGTTTTGGGATAAGAATGTATAGGTCTCCTAGTTTCCTTTGCACCATCTGTCCGTGACCATTCTTATAATATTTATGATTTGCTTTACATGTATATACAGTGAATAGCGACGATATGACACCACTCAGATAGACTGGATAAGTTCGACAGAATGAAATGGTTGTCGCTTGTATCGCAAAACGTATTACACGGACGCTCCGTGGTAGTTACTAAAATTTCTGACGTAGATGGTGTTGCAACCCAGTTTTTAGTGGCATATCAGAAAGCTACGAGAATCACTGAGTCAAGCAAGTGAGCATAGTTTTTTGGTTAGTGGTTCATTTTGAAACGCCATACGCGGGTGTTTCAGCTTTCCATCTTGTGTAGAGTTATTCGTCAAAATTTCTCACCACGCTCATTCAACACCCTAGATATAAAGAAAATGTGATTACATAATCAGAAAGCCATTTTACCTTTTTTATTCTATCTGGTTGTTAATTGTGCTAGTTCTTTTTTGACCTGCTCGCTTTTTCGGCATCTTACCAGTCTTTTCGCTATCGCTGGCTCGCCTCGCTGTTTCAGCTTTGTCCCTGCTTCGCTAGCATGTTTTTCGAAAAGGTGCTCGCCACAAAGAATGCTTCC